TTCATATTTCTATGGCATGTCGTGAAGAGGGGGTTGAGGGGTTTTTTATATAAAGTTTTAATGAATGTCTTAAGGGGTTCCGGGGGGGGAGGGTTGGATCAGAAGTAAGGCCGTGGGTATGGGGGATAACCCACTAAGGGGAGGGCCAGGTATGGCTGTGGAGCACGGCACGGGGGGTGGGGGGCCCGGGGTCAAGGGGGGGGGCTAAAGTTCATCCAGATAAAGTTTTTACCATCAGTACTGTGGGTGGGAGGGGTAGATATGGTGGGAGCAGGGGGCCATATCGTGTTAGGGGAGCGCGCGCCCGCTGTCTTCGAGCGGTGGCGCGCTCCGGCCCCCAAAGCTCCACTCGTTCTCCAGGTGGTGCAGATCCTCAGGGCCCTGGCCTCCATCTGATGTTATGCAATGCCAGGTCTGTAGTAAATAAAGCCCCCCTCATTTGTGATCTTGTTCAGGAGGGGGGAGCGGACCTGGCAGGTATTACAGAAACCTGGTTGGGCCAAGAGGGGGGGTCCCTCTCGTTGAAATGTGCCCACCAGGTTTCCGCGCATTCCATCAGCTGAGGTTGCAGGGTAGGGGCGGGGGGTTAGCGGTTATTATTAACGAAGGTCTGAGACCAAGGGAGGCCACTGTTCCTCAGACGGCTGGCTGTGAATCCCTCCTTGTGAAATGGGGTCATGGGGTTCAGAGGGGTTTGCTGATCACATACCTGGCTCCCTGCCATGTGGCAGCAGCCCTGCCCGAGCTACTCAGCGTCATTGCTGCGGTGGCGGTTGAGACCTCTAGGCTTATGGTCATGGGGGATTTCAACTTGCCGTCCGTCGGTGAGGCATCTGAGGTGGTTCGGGAGTTCATGGCTTCCATGACAGCCATGGACCTGACCCAGTTAATTCATGGCCCTACCCACACGGGGGAAACACGCTGGATCTGGTTTTTGTCTCTGGACAGTGGTTGAGTGATCTCGAGATAGGGGATATAGTCACCGAGCCCTTGTCATGGTCTGATCACTCTCTCCTTCGTCTCGACTTTCGAACCGCTACACCCCACTGCAGGGAGGCGGAGCTGGTAAAATGGTTCCGCCCCAGGCGCCTGATGGAACCTGACAGGTCCAGATGGAGCTTGGGCCATTCCCTGAGGCTCTGGCACACGCCTCGACTGGAGACCTAGTGGCCGCCTGGGATAGGGCGGCTGCTGGAGCTCTGGATCGGGTCGTGCCTTTGCGGCCTCTGACCCGGCGCCGATCTCATTTAGCTCCTTGGTTCACTGAGGAGCTGAGGGAGTTGAAGCGCCAGAAAAGACGCCTAGAGAGTAGTTGGAGGGCCAGTCTTTCTGAATCTGACCGGACACTGGTAAGATCTCATATTAGGAATTACCTAGTGGCGATAAAAGCAGCAAAATGTAGCTATTTTGCTGCTCTTATTGCATCATCAGATAATCGCCCGGCCGCCCTGTTTAGGGTGACCCACTCCCTGCTCCACCAGGAAGCACGGGAGGACCCCTTGGAGGGTAGAGCCGAGGATTTTGTTCAATATCTGTATGGCAAAATCACTCAGATTCGGGAAGATCTGGACTCCGACTGGGTAGTCTCAGGGGGAGGGACTGGGGCAGGTCTTGAGAATGTTATCTGGGATGAGTTTGATCCTGTGACCCCTGACGACGTGGACAGGATTCTGGGTAGACTGAACGCGACCACTTGTTTATTGGACCCGTGTCCCTCCTGGTTAGTGCTGGCTTCTCGGGAAGTGACACGAGGCTGGTTCCAGGGGATTATAAATGCTTCGTTGGGTGAGGGTGTCTTTCCTGCCGCCTTGAAAGAGGCGGTGGTGAGGCCTCTCCTCAAAAAGCCTTCCCTGGACCCGGCAATGTTGGTAAATTATCGTCCGGTCTCCAACCTTCGTTTTGTGGCAAAGGTTGTTGAGAGTGTGGTTGTGCAACAGCTCCCCCAGCACCTGGATGAAACGACGTATCTGGATCCATTCCAGTCGGGCTTCAGGCCCGGGTACAGCATGGAAACGGCATTGGTCGCATTGGTTGATGATCTCTGGAGGGCTCGGGACAGGGGGTGCTCCTCTGTCCTGGTCCTGTTAGACCTCTCAGCAGCTTTTGATACCATCGACCATGGTATCATGCTGCATCGGTTGGAAGAGTTAGGGGTGGGAGGCACTGTGTTGCGGTGGTTCTCCTCCTTTCTCTCTGACCGGTCGCAGTCTGTGTTGACAGGGGGACAGAGGTTGACCCCGAGGCCCCTCATATGTGGGGTGCCGCAAGGTTCGGTCCTCTCGCCTCTCCTGTTCAACATTTATGTGAAGCCGCTGGGCGAGATCATCCGTGGTTTCGGGGTGGAGTACCATCAGTACGCTGATGACACCCAGCTGTACATCTCCACCCCGGATCACCCCAACGATGCCCTTGAAGTGATGTCCCGGTGCCTGGAGGCCGTACGGATCTGGATGGGGAGGAACAGGCTCAGGCTCAACCCATCCAAGACCGAGTGGCTGTGGTTTCCGACGTCCCGATATAGTCAGTTGATGCCATCACTGACTATTGGGGGCGAATCATTGGCCCCCACGGAGAGGGCTCGCAACTTGGACGTCCTCCTGGATTCATGGCTGTCTTTAGAAGAGCACTTGACGGCCGTGACCAGGAGGATTTTTCATCAGGTTTGCCTGATTCGCCAGTTGCGTCCCTTTCTGGATCGGGACTCGTTACGCACGGTCACTCATGCCCTCGTCACCTCCCGCCTGGACTATTGCAACGCTCTCTACATGGGGCTCCCCTTGAGGAGCACCTGGAGGCTCCAGCTGGCGCAGAGTGCGGCCGCGCGGGTGATAATGGGAGCGACATGGCGCTCCCATGTAACACCTCTCCTGCGCGAGCTGCACTGGCTCCCAGTGGTCTTCCGGGTGCGCTTCAAGGTTTTGGTTACCACCTTTAAAGCGCTCCATGGCTTAGGACCTGGTTATCTACGGGACCGCCTACTACCACCAATAGCCTCCCACCGGCCAGTACGCTCTCATAGAGAGGAACTCCTCCGGGTGCCGTCAGCCAAACAGTGTCGACTGGCGGCCCCTAGGGGGAGAGCCTTCTCTGTGGGGGCACCTACTATCTGGAATGAGCTCCCCCCGGAGATACAGAGGATCCCGGATCTGCGCACCTTCCGCCGTGCTGTGAAGACCTTTTTATTCCATCAGGCGGGTTTGGCCTAATCTCTTCCCTTTTTTAAATATCTAAATTTTAATCTGTTTTTAAATTATTGGGGTGTTTTAATCTGTCTGGGCCAAAATGATTTAATTTGATTTTATCTGTTTTTTAAATTTTGTGTATCTATGTATTTTATTGTTGGCTGTTCACCGCCCTGAGTCCTGAGTAGGGCGGTATACAAATCAAATAAACTAAACTAAACTAACTAAACTATGCTGCCCACTCTTTGAGGACTCTTACACCAAAGACAGTAAGTATACTAAATAGCATAAGGCCCCCAACAATCTGCATCCTCTGCAACAAAGCCAAAATATACTCTAGAATAATGAAAGAATGGAGCCAACTTGACAAGAAGATTTAAGCTATTTCTGACTTGCAAAAATATTATTCTATAAACTTCACCTGTTTCTCCTGTTTTTACATTCTGTTTTTAGCTACCAAACAATTATTTAAGCCCAGCTATTTTGCACCTTCTGTTCTCTTGACCTAATTCCTAAAAAATTGGAATCAATTTTTTATTACATCCTCAAAATGTTATTTTGGAGCAAGGTCATAATTAGCATTTACTGTAGTTGAGTACACTGTCTTGTTATACAAGACAAGTAGGCTTTGTAATATACCTTAAGGCTTTTTGAAATGCATCTTTTCTTCAACCTATAACTTGTCAGAGACCTCTTGTCTCCCTTTATCTAAAAAAATCACAATCAGTTTCCTTTAGATTATTTTAAATATGTGCTAGAAATATTTCTGCCTCAGATAAGCAAGTTCTAGGCTGGAGAAAGCATCATCCCAAGGTTGCACCCTTCTCCACGGCAGTATCTTTTTCGGTCTTTCCATTCATTCTCCATACTTGATCTCACAGAAGAAATTAAATATAGGCCCAGTAAAGGTTATACAGGTAGTTTAGGTAAAAGTGGTAATACATAACAGCATTTTAAATAATAGTACTTCCTCAGCTATTAGCTATCAATTACAGTGATCATTATCTTTCCTTCAGCACAATACTACATGACCCATCTCTTTCCTCTGGGGAAAGAATATCACACCTTTTCTTTGCAAGAAAGTGGTTACAATTACAAATTGCAATTACAATTTTCAGAGAGATTGCATCATCATGAAGTGCCAATGACTAATAGTGATCTCAGTTACAGATCACAATGGCAAGTCTCTCCCTTTCGGGAAATAAGTATCAGAATGAGGTCAGAGAGGAGCATTCACTTCTCCCCAGGCAAACAACATCACTGACACTACATTCAGATGAAAGTCACAGCATTGCATACTTTTCTTTACCGGAGTATCATCAGTATCTTACATTATGCTACAATAGCAAAACAATGTGCGGTTTCACTCATCAGGCACACAGTATCAACAGTCTATCGTTTCCAGGCAGGGAACGTTAACAAGGAATCATGATATGACAGCCTTTCTTTTGTAGTAGCATCAGCATACATCATTGTTATCTCCACAGAAAGATAACACCTCTATGAGGTACCAGTGAACAATCTTTATCTTCTTGTTAAAAGCATCATTAAGAACTCACTGTTTCTTTCTTTTCAGAAGTAAACTTCAGGATGAAGTCACGATCACATTCACTACTCTGTAGTAAAAGATCATTTAAGTATTCCCCCAAATCACTCACTTCTTTAGGTAGACAAAAGCAGCAGGAGGCCCAAGAGACTAATCATTTCTCTTCAAGCACAGCAGCCCAAGAGTTCAATGGCCATCAAATCACAGTAGTCAGTCATCAGCACTATGTCATAATCCAAAGAGACATCACCATGCAAGCTGCCTGGGAGTCCTTAAAGAAAGATAGCTATAGGGTATAAATCTAATAAGTAATATCCAGTTTATCTCCTTGAGACAGAGCTTCTAAACAATATCACAGTAAGTTAATTACTCTTCTTTGGGCAGGTACCATATTGTGGAAACTATCAGGTAATACAGGCACTCTCTCTCTCTTTGAGGGAGTCTGGAACATGTAGACCAGAAAACCTCTTTCAGAAAGAGATGGTTTAGAAGTTTAAAAGTTTAAAGTCAGCTGGTGTATTTTTTAGTGAAATGCCCAGCAAAGGATTTACAGAAAGTAGAAGCCTACCACATGGGGTAAAAAAAGAATCAAACTGGGACATTGAGTATTTATTTATTTATTTATTTATTTATTTATTTATTTATTTATTTATTCAATTTGTATGCCGCCCCTCTCCGAAGACCCAGGGCAGCTCACAATGCATATTGTAGCATATCAAGAGATACTTTACAACTAGTAGGTAGCCCAGAATAAGGATAAGGCCAGAGCCAGAACAATCCCTACATTTAAGTTTACATTTACGTTAAATTAATAGAATTTGGTCAATAATTATCTGTTTATTTATTTCAATCTATATGTTTGCCCATCTCAGCCTGTGATCCTGGATGACAAATACCAGCTAAAACTCTAAAATAACAATCATATCATAATAAATATAAATTGAGAATACAAGGTAAAAATCATTGCAATCATCAACAAAAGCCAGTTACTCATTTTTCCCTTCTCTAAGAGGCTAATATTTAGGAGAGAATGTGAGTACCGTATTCCAATATAAATGCATACCTGGCTGCTTTTATATTGGAATATAAAATAGAATTCTTCACATTTAACTTGAAAAATGCAAATTTATTGTGCATCTGATGAATTGAAATGTATAGGGAACTTCTTTTATATGTCATCAAATATCTCATTTGTGTAACTGCATACCTAATTTCAGAAAGTGAACTCTCTTTGATCAAAATCAAGTCAACATCCCAGGCTAGTTAAGGATTTAAAGGTAGGGATTTACTGAGTATTAGTCATAGTTCTTTAAATACTGTATTTAATAGATGATGAATTATAGAATATAAGCATTTGAGTCTAACAGCACCTATAAGCTAATCACTTGGTAGTTTCATTTGGTAGTTATTTATTAATAATTCTTGTAATCCATCCAGACCAAAGACTCTAGGCATATAACAAACCCAAAAAAGGTACAAAGATTGTTTGACATTTAAACAATCCTAGGAGATGAGCACTGAAGACTATCAATTGATTAGAAGCACACTAGAATTAATCTGGCTTTCACTACTTTACAAAATGCCTGCAAGGATCTCACTGCCCAGACCTTGGGGGAAAGTGCTTCCAAAATATGGAGGCCACTACAAGAAAAGCCTATTGTCTTGCCCAGGTCCCATCACCTCCACATAAGTTAAGATCTTTCAGGAGACCCTCACAAAATGTTCATATCTCATGGGCAGATTTGATGTTGGTAAGATAATGCTTGAGATATGTCAGTGCTGAACCACTCTATTTCTCTCAATTTCAGTTTCACTCCCCTACTTCTAATTACTTTCACTACTTAACTTTTCCTTCTTCTTCTCCCTAACAGATTGTTTTCCCCCTAGGAAAAATGTATAAACTAGTACAATTGACACTGGAGTTAACTAACTAATAATAATAATCAGGAGCAATCAAAGTTGGGCAACAATCAAGGCTTCAAAACCATAAAGAAACGTCAAGAAATGAAGAAGCAGTCTAGATATGGATTAGAATAAAGGAAAATCTAACACAGGAGGTAACGAAGGACAGTAAACAATGCTACCTGAAATTTTTCAGACTCCATTTGGGGCATTCTGCAAGACATTAGGAAGGGCTTATTTTGATATGTATTGTGTTTTTAGTGTGCACTGTGCCTTTAAAACTGTTTGTTCTGTGGCTTGTATATATTGTGATAAAGGCAGACTCCTTGTTTACAGCACAATGTTTTTTGTAGGACAAAAGATGTTTCATTGTATTGAGCTATAGACAGCTGTAAAATTTACAGCTATAAAGTCTACAGCTAGACTTCTTCTAACATCTGTGCAATATTGTTTGGCCATTTCTGAATCTGTATCAGTTTTGCTCTTAATAGTATGGAAAAGTGTTGCTGTCCATAATTGAGATTTTAATTTGTTTTTCGCTTTGCTCCCAGTTGGCAGAGAACTACTGCCAGGTTTGTTCAAAGTGCATTGCAAAAAGGATGAGAAAAATCACTTAGGAATCACAAGGGGATTTTCCTTCTCAAACTCTTAGCAGCCTCTGCTTTAAGACAGAGGTTACAAAAGGCTAAGTTAATGTAAAATGCACTGGGGAGGGGGAGGTATCTGCAAAGGGAGAAAAACTGTCAAACTGGGTGATGTGACCAGATGATCAAAGCCCTATCCCTTTTTATAGCCATGTGATTCATGTGACACATGTTAAAAAGAGTTGAGATTCAATCAACTGGTCATGTCTGTCATTTTGACACTTTTGACTTTGTCAATGAATCCACTTGGTAAAAAGTAACCCCCAAAGCTAAAATTTAAACACATCTGATGGCCTTATAAGAAATATGGTAAAATAGATGTAGAGAAGTGGCACATCATTACAAATTTAACAAGCCAGAAAGAATTACAAAATGAAGGAATTAAAAAAATATGGAAAAGAATAATAATTTTTAAAAAATCAAAAGAGAGGAAATAAGGATAGTAAAGCAAGAAATGTGAGTATTGCATGCCAGGTTCAGTTATAGTCAGAAATGAAGATACAATATTATGCCAAAATTAAAAGGGAAAAATATTTGGAACAATGCAACAGAATAAATCAAACCGAGTAATAAAAGGGAATAGGGAACCAAATAATTTTACTGATCTCTCTCTCTCTTTCTCTCTCTCTCTCTCCCCCATCTCTTTCTCTCTCAGAGGGAGAGAGAGAATTTGATTTGATTGATTTGATTATGTATTGTTAAGTCAGTATTTCCTCTTAATGGTTACTCCAGGTGTTCTTCAGGAAGATCTGCCCCAAACTAGTCCTTCAAGTCTTCTAATGTGTACCCACATTAGAAGCAAATATCTTGCAGCCACTCTGTTTTGCCATGTATCATCCAGGCTATGGATTTCTTATCCATCCCTAAGTTATATATGTAATGAGATGTTCTAGGATTCCCATTTTTCTACACACATTCTGGATCTCATATGAGTGACACAATAATATAATTATTCTTTCTGTAATAAATAATTATTCACTTTTTTTAAACAATTCATGTTTTCAGTTTCCAGCATGCACTAGCAGTAATATATTGTGTTCTTCAGTCTCTGCTAAAACCAGCTTTAACATCACATATCTCCTTTTTATGTAGAGCTCTAATGTGCATTGAATGATCCTCTGTGTTATTTTGTGTGTGAAGGTGCATGTCTGTGTGTTTGTGTGTGAATATACACACAAATATACATATACATATGTCTTTCTGTGTGCATACTGTACATAGAGGGTCAACTTTTATATATTATAATACATATATATTTAAATTGTTCATCTGATAAATCAAGATCTTTTGAAACAAAATGTAAGATTTGTTTTAAAAGCTAGAATGCGTATGAGGGTGTGCACCTAATTTTTAAAATGCAAATTAATTTGTTTATATGAAACCAATAGTAAATTCAGTATTTATAATCATTATTTAAGGACAAAATACATGTAACTGAACTGCATTGCAAAACCCAGGTGAAAGAGAGATCTTAATCAGAGGGGAAAATAAATTTAGTTATTTATATTCTGTCATTCAAATAATTTCCCAGGGCAACTTACAATACAAATACAAATCATTATAAAACACAACAGATTAAAAACAGTAGGATCAAAAATCTAAATAGAAAAGTCAAGGAAACCCAGGGGGGTTAAACATTATAGATTAAGTCATGAAATTTTAAGCAGAAATGGTTCAGCTATACCAAAATGGCTTCTTCATATGACCCAGGCAAGACATTTAGAGAAAACAATTTGCAGCACAAGTAGCCTTTTTTTGATAACCTGCCACATCTCAAAACTTTGCACTTTTTTAAAAAAAATCATGCACAAATCATGCAAAGAAATACAAAGATTATTTCTCTGCCTCCTTTCTGTTTAATCTGATGTGCTATGACAGTACACATGATTTTGATTTCTGCTATCCAAGATATTATTATATCATCTTGGTATCATCATCAAAATCTTTTTGCATTTCACATTCTGAGGTGTTTTTTTTAAATCAGAGATGACTAAAGATTCCATTAGCAGCATCCAGCTAGAACTAAGCTTTGTGTCTTGTTAAACCTCACATAGCTGGACAAGATCAAGGAAACAAGAATTTATACTGATTTCAATAATTTATCTTTAATGCTGGGGTGCAGTAAAGATAGAATGTTGGAAATTTTCCTGCCGTAATTAGTACTCAGTTAATTAAGGCAGATTCTCCTTCAATAATTTGAAATGCTTCAAAGCAATTCATTTCTGCCTAGACTAAGTAGCCATTTAGTTGATAGATATGCTGTCAACTGACTTACCCATTATCTTTTAAGTGTTTGTGTCCACCCTCTCTTCCATTTCTTTCTGTCAGGCTGATGTCCAGAGAGGAGACAGTGAGATTCAATCAAGCTCAATCCTTTATTTGCTTGTACCCAATAGACAGAATCTTGCCAAACTAAAACTATAATTTTCTAAGCTACTAATATATCCAGAGAGATACTAGGGTGTCTCTTTCTCTTCCCTGCTCCTGCCTCCAGCTCAGGACTATGCAGTCTCTTGATCTAAGTCTCCTTCTGGGAAAGTTCTGATTGTCAAAATCTTCTCCCTCTGCTGCTACAAGTGCACATTCCACTACACTTTTCCAGACTCCCTACAGTCTCTCACAACTGAATCTTGAATAGTCATTATTGAAAGTTGGGGTTGCTGCTCAGATGAAGGAACATTCCGAAAGAGCCCACAAGGGGGTTTCCTCTAGATATGTGTAGTTTAATTCCCAGAATTCCCCTGTTAATTTCCATTAACTGAAACATTAACAGAATCTTGCCAGTCTGACATCCTCTCCCTGCCACCCCTATAGTTCAAGAATAACAGAGTTGGAAGGGACCTTAGAGGTCTTCTAGTCCAACCCTCTGCTGAAGCAGAATACCCTGTACCATTCCAGACCAATCCCTTCTTGAAAGCCTCCAGTGGTGGAACACCTACAACTTCTGAAGGCAAGCCATTCCGCTGGTTAATTGTTCTCACTGTTAGGAAATTTCTCCTTAGTTGAAGGTTGCTTCTCTCTTTGATTAGTTTTCATCCTTTGTTTCTTGAAAGTAGGGAGGGTCCCTCCTGAGACATTTGCCACACCCTCATTCCTTCTGCAGGATCAGCTGTCACTTGACTGACCATTGGCTAGTAGAATAGAATAGAGCTGGAAGATAGAATAGAGTCTGTGGCTCTTCCCAAGATCATTCCCACATACCATTACCCCAGCATAGTAGGTGCTGAGAATTCTGGTTATTGGTCCACATGTGCGGAAGATACCAGACTGAAAAAAATTGGAAGTAGAGAACTATTGTTCTCTGTAAGCTGTTGAGATAACCATTAAAAGATTTTTTAGGATAGCTCTCTTCTGTCCATAACCTGCTCAGCAAACTAGCATTTTATAGGTAGTTTCTAAACAGAAAAACAGTGTCTAATGTATTCTTAATTGTGAAAAGTATGATCTTGTTTGGTTTCAAATGGAGTTTAAACTTTAAGGACCATTTTCATTTTATTTGTCCTTCTTCTCCTCAATATTTTATATTTCTTTATATTTATATAAATATAAATAGTTATATGATTCGTATTTCTTTAGATTGACAAACCCTTAGGAATATTAATATTTACAACAAGAATTGAACTCACAAGATTAAACAAACAAACAAAGAAAGAAACAAATAAGATTGATGTTTCTGAGGGGAAAAAGAAATAGTATTAAAAACCAGCCATAGTTAAAGGAACATTAAATAAGAATAAAAGCTGAAGCTGGAGTGGAAAGAAGTAGAGATTGAAAAGTGACAAAACCATTGTCAAAATACAATGTAGGTTCCTGCAACATCCAAGAGTGAGAAATGAGTGCCAAAAAGTCCATTAATAATATGAATGGGAGAAAGAGATGCAAGGTTTAAACCTTGGAACCGACATATACCCATGGCAAAGTGCCTCAATTCTTCACTAGCTGTCCTTCATTGTTATTAAAGCTTATTCCACCTCTGCAATTAAATCAGTTTCTCTGAGCTATTTTTCTTGAATCTTCCACTACTAAGTTCATGTGTTTGTATTTCTAAAAAAAGAGTAATTGCCATTCCCAAGAATATCGAAACACTAAATATGTATATACTCAGACTTCTGATCAAGATTACATGTTCTTGGATGGATTTTGGCATTCTCTGGTATCCTCCATAATATTTTAATCTTGATAACTAATTGCTATTTAAGGTTCACAAAGCAAAACCAGAGTCAGCTAATTACATTGTGTTTTGATTATCAGCAAAGGCTTGTAAATAGAGTATATGTTTGTATCTGCATGTGTAGGGATGTGGTGGGTTGGGCATTCTGGCTCCCTCAAACAGGGATCTTAAGTCTTCACCCACAATTGCTAGTGTTGCAATCCCTGTTAATGGGTTTCCACAACCCCTTTCATTCAAAGGAAATGTTTCTTTTTTGCCCTTTACTCTGAAAGTAAAATCTCGCAGTTTTTATTCTGTCTTTTTTAAAATATCTATAAAATCAAAGTTGCAAAATATGCTA